CATGATGATGACATCAACAAATTATTTCACTAAAATGGATGTATGGAAACTACTCCTAAAGAGAAAACTTGTTATCTTCAGAAATTAGGCACAGTTAGCTGCTGCACTATACAATGAATTTTGCAGATCTCTTTAGGAAAAATCAGCCTTGTACAAAAGGAACCATCATAAATATAATTTATTTTGTCCTTTTCTGCACCCTAACTTGCCCTTGAGAAGGCACTGTCCATTAAGCAAAAGTAAGCCTAGCTTGTATGTGTTAGGTATTTGATGTTGACCATTCCCAGCAAAAGACCAAAAAAAGAATTTCCAGATTGTAATCTTCTATAACTGGATTGGTAATATAAATTTTATATTTCATTGCTCAGATTTTTCCTGAAAAAAAAAAAAGAAAAAGAAACAATTTGAGCAAGAATGAATAAATTTTAAAATAAGTCAAAGAAAGAAAGAAACAAACAAACAAAAAACAAGCAAAAGGCAATTGAAAATATGGGTGTGAATAAGAGTTTATATTATTTTCTTTGTACTTTATTAAGCTGTCTCAGTGACTGAGGTTTCTCATAGGTTGCTCACAACTTTTAAGATTTTCTTTTTGTGTGTGTGTGCTTGAAATGAACTATGGATTAAAATAATAATTCAGTCAGTATATAATGAACAATAAATAGATATGGAAATAATGATAATGTATATAAATAGGCCTGTTCTTACTAAACATGCACTCACAACATGACCTTGAATATTCTTCTAGAAACTGGAAAAAGAATGGAAAAATATTGAAGTTTTCAGTAATAATTGAACTGAAGGACAAAAAGATTATTTTTTTTTCCTCCAATGTCAGCTGTTCATAAAAATTTATACTCTGAAAAGAATGCACGAGTGAAGAAGATTCCAAGTAAAGGAAATCTGTTTTCCTTTGAAAATTGCCCTCTTGGGTAATTAACCTAAATTTGGCTATATTACAACAGAAAGGTTTTTGTTTATTTTTATTTTTTTAATGGTTCTTTAAGGTCCAATTTGAACTGCTTTCTTGTATATTAAACTGTTCAAAATACAGTATGTTTACAAGGAAAGGGCAGGTATAGGGCCACGATCTTTTCAGTTGTGCTCTGTTGACAGGATGAGGGCCAACGGGCACAAAGTTCCATCTGAACATAACGAGAAATTTCTTTGCTTCGAGGGTGACAGAGCACTAGAACAGGCTGCCCAGAGAGGTAATGGAGTATCCTTCTCTGAAGATATTCAAAACTCACCTGGGTTCTTCCCTGTACAAACTACCCTGGGGAATCTGCTTTAGGAGGGGATTGGACTAGATGATCTCCAGAGGTCCCTTCCAACCCCTATGATTCTGTTCTTCTGTAAAGGCAAATATTTGTTTCATAACAGATTTTACAGGCGGCTGGCAGTACATTTACCTCATGATTTATATACTGAAAAATGTCTTTTATATGATACGCGTGCACCTAGCTCTTTAAAGAGAATATAGTAGTGTTTAGACAATTGTTGTGTATGGTGTCTGTTTCTGCATCCAAAAATTTGATATTTCCAAGAATAATAATCGTGGATTGGCTTTAATATTAGGACAGAAGAGAGAATAAGTGCCTCATGACATTGTGTATTTCCTAGCTTACGCTTGAAAATCCCCAGGTTAATAATATTCATTTTATCTTTTAGAACTTCTATGTGCTCTCTGAATTCTTTACATGTCAAATACCCATAGATAAATAAGCCATTATCCACAATAGCCAGAATTTTCAAAAATTACTTACATTCAAATTAAACAGCAGCTTCTTATGCATCAATGTGTCTATAACTGATAGCTCTAGAATTCCTTTCACAAATGAATTATTGGCCCTTCAACAATTTCACGTGTATTTACAGGCAAATGAGATATATGGCCTCTACAGACATCTCAATGAACACAATCATGATATCACAATAGATCATTTTACACTAGTGTATGTTCAGCTCACATAATTTACCATTGGTAGGGCTAGGATTAGCATGGCTAGATTATATGGATGCTGCATAGGACAGGTTTGGTGCATTATGCTGATGCTTTGGACTTTAAAATGTTAATATTGCAAATGAAAGGTACACTTTGTGTATCATAAATCTAAATGTCTGTTCTTCCTATGTGCCCAATAAATACACTTCTCATCAACTTTTAATTATGCTATTTGCATTTTTCTGTCCTGAAGAGGATAACACTCTGTAAATCATCCACTTCTAAAGTACACTACAGCATAAGTTTAGTTAATTAAACCATATATTTTATTAGTACTTACACTTCCATCTTTTAAAACTATACACACTGACAGAAAAAATAATATAGAGAGGTTTGTTATTTATTTATTATTTAGATTTATTTTATTTATTACCATGACAATACTAAAAAAATTTAGCAGGGTTAGATGTGCATATTGCCTAGTAGCTTTTATAATAAGAATATCCAGCCTCAAAAACTTATTGTCTATCTACTGCTACAAGAAAGGGAAACTTCCTGAACATGTTGACTTTCCCATAGAGCCACTTTCGCATATTTAATGCTCGGCATTTTCAGAACTTTATTAGATATATTCTCATCAAGAAAATAATTTATTATTTTGATTCATTAAATAATATCTCCTAAAATGAAATTCACATTTTGAGGAATTAGGAGATTATTTTCCTATTCTTCTTACTTTTGAGTTGCTATTTGTTTATTGGATCAGCTTCTGGTCCAGTGTAGGTGCTAGCATAGCGGGAATAGAGTAGAGTCATTCCTATTTGAGGATTCCAGAAGAAGCCATGACACATGCGAAAAATAATTTAAAAGTATTGTGACACAGTAGTATTATTTTTGTAAGACATTTGAACACTGTAGCATCAACAAGCTTTGGTCCAAACAGTGTCCCCAACTATTTGCTGCTCAGATGCAAAACAAAATAAAAACAAACAAACAGCAACAACATCAACAACAACAAAAACAACAAAAAAAGAGAGTCCTTTTACATCTGGCTAAAATTACGAGATTTTGGCTTATATTTGATATAAATGAGACTCCCAATTTACTTGGATTTGATATGAACTTTGGTATTATGAGGTATTGCTCTATATTTGGTTCAGTCTAAAACAGCGTATGAAGATTCTTTATTTAAGAATGACACAATCTTCTTTTTCTCTTAATTACTTAACTAGGGCAGCTAAGAATCACATACGATGCTTATGCCTCTCAGGGTGCCTGTGCTTTATTGATAGCATGGGCTCTTCCCTAGTGTACATGGCACTATCGCTAAGATCAATCTGGCCTAGAGCTGTGAATATGTATGCCCGGATCTAAACTCAAGCAGGAGCATTGCAGCTTGCTGCAGACTATGGCATTTATTTAAATTATTATCACTAGTCACAGAGGATCAAAGGAAGGAGAAGCTACTCTTTCATTCCATGGCAGGGAGGGCAACATACTACTCCTAAGGCAGACACTGCCTCTGTAATGGACGCCAGTGGACTGGGTCTGCTTGCTGATGTTCTCCAGTCAACAAGTACCTACAGCTCTGTCTGCAGAGGGTGTGTGTGTTAGGACCTATAATCTTCATGTGGTTTACGTGGTGGTTGTGGGCTGAAGGAAACTGAGCATATTGGAATGGAATGAGCCTGTGCCAAGCAGCTCCTCTTCTACTTTTCTCACTTTTTACAGGCATCCTTTCCATCTTCAGGGATATTTTAGATGTGTTTTAAATGTATTTTCTTTCTACAGACTGTTATTAATTGAAAAGCTCAAAGCAAAGTGTCTTCTTCTCATTAAGCGACTGGGATTTCTCAGGATGTCAGAGTTTCAGTCTTTAAGGGGACAAGCAGCAGCATTTCCCAGGGCCTGGCTCACACCTTGGCGAGGGGCACAATTATCCCCGTAGCTCCACCACTGGGGAGAGAGCCACACTGCACCCAAACAAGAATGTTTAGGGTTACAGTTTAAACACCAAGATTTCCCCTCTCTCTATCACATGCACACATATGAGTACATTCATTATTTGTATTTGGAGAGCTGAGGAAAGTGAGACTGAGGAGTTAAATCCTAACGGGGATTGCAGGGCCTCAGCTGGAGAATCTCCACAAGCTTGGAGCAATCAAATACAGCTGAGGCCAATTTAAAATAAAACAACAACAAAAAATCTGCCTGGTCTCATAGCAGGGAGGAAGAGGGATTTGTAGGGTTGTTCTCAGAACAATGGCTCTAGAGGTATACATAAGGCATGTGTGTATTAAGGCATATGTCAAGTAGGATGTTTTTGTATATGAGTTTGTATGAGGAAAGGCAGGGTATTTGTTTGATTAAGAAGCCCAGAAATAAATATGTAACATCAGAGCTTTTCATTGTTTAGTCAGGGTGCTCTGTGATCTTCCTGATGTGGCTTTTTTTTTTTTCTTTCTGGCCCTGTGTAAAACATGGATGTTAGGAAAAAGAGAAAAAGAGCAAGTGTATTTTTACTTATTTATTTTCTTCTAAAATATGTAATTCATCTCACCAGTAAAAGCTCCCTTGCTCTACAGTAGGCTTGTTCTGAATGTTGAAATTTAGGTTTTTTGTTAGTATTTAACTTGATACTGGAATTTCTTGTAAAACTTTGCAAGTAATTCACAATTGCATTTTGTGGATTTCTTATGAGCAGTTATTGTGCTTAGGTTTTAAGCATACATAGGTTAAAAACAGGAATGCGAATCAACATAGGTGCACTGTATTTTTTTTCCCCAGAACTAGCATATTGATATGTCATTAAGATTTATAACCTTTTCATTCTTAGTCCAATAGTTACAGATTGCCTCTTTTTCTTGCACAAATGCCAATAGACTGTATTGTTCGATTTGTGAAGAGGGTGTAGTAAATGTTAACAATAAACTGGCCATTTTAGGATTTTAGATGGGAAGCTTTGGAGGAAAAAAAAAAATAACTGAGGGGAAGGGGCTTCAGGTATATTTTTACACTTGCTTGATTTTTTTCTCTGCTTCCAGGTTGTATGGGAATTACCAAGTCACAGACTGAATCAATGGCTGAATGTCAGGTGGTAAGTGGTTAACCTAGGGAGCTCAGGTGCAAGCAATGAACCTGAGTAACCAGAAAGGGTGGACTTAGGGTCCAGCCCTCTTCACCTTCATTTAAGTGTTAGCAGCCAAGGGAGCAGCTTTTCTCTAGAGACTGTTATTTTTGAGCTGTTGCCAGTCATGGAAAGAGGTAAGGTAATTTTTTTTGTTATTTTCTATTGTTTCATACTGTTTATATGCTCGTAGAAAGCACTGCTCTCATTTTTTTTGCCCTATGTGGGTAGGATAAGGTGAAGCTCAACTGATCATATAACTAATGGTATCCTACTGCCTTAAAATGCCCTGCGCATACTTGATACTGTTGTAGAACAAATATCAAATTTGACTAGCATGGTAATTGCACTCACCAGAAATGCATGTCTGTGATAAGTTTACAGTTTGAATTATATCTTTTTTTTTTCTTTTACTTTTAAAAGGCAAATCTTACACTATGTTCATTCAAAGGGGTTCTGAAGCTTTGTTTTTCCCTAGAAGATGTCCTAGATTTTATTCTTTAATGTTGTTCCTGATTTATTAGATGTCCATGTTTCCCTGGATAGTACCATCTTTAGAGTTATACATCATCAGAGTGACTCATTCCAATGATGTATTGCATTAATACATCATCAAAGCGCCTTGCTCTGCTGTTGCACTAATGATATGTTAGTATAATACATCATCAGAGTGAACTGCACTGATGATGTATTACTTAGGTGGTGATGGCATTCTGTGAAGAAAAGGTTGAGGAGCAGGTTCAATACAGTCACAGGAGAAAAATTAGTCAATATAGAGTATAACTGTTTCTCTGGTAGTGATGCTGACGGTAAATTAGCACCATAGCCCCTGATCCGTACCCTTGCAGAAACACTGAGACATGCATTATCCCCAAAAGAGGAATGAATTCAGAACACTCAACTAAAGGATTTTTACAGAAGAGAGGAGAGGTATAACTATACATATCACTGGAAAGCTAAAGGTTATACATATAGCTATAATTACTGGCTACTGAAAGATTGAATGAATCAAACAGGGCCAGAAAAGGACATGGGTCTGCATATGTTCAGGAGCTACCTCTCTGTTGGAGAATGATACACATTTGGAAGACTGAGATATAAGGGCTGTAAGTGAACTGAGTTGAAGTGGCTGCTGCTTAGAAACATCTAACAGGGATATTAAAATGTTGCAAAGTATATAGAAGGCTATACCATGATATATTCTTAACTTTTTATTATATTCTTGTCTTAAACATGTTAGGCTGACGAGCAGAATGTGTTGCTGCCTCAGTTCAGTGAACTTCTTATGAACTTAGTAATTGATAAAATTTCCAAGTGAGGTGTGCCTAGACAAATGAAGATAAAAGGCAGTAATACCTGGTCACAGAATCACAGAATGGCCAAGGTTGGAAGGGACCTCAAGGATCGTGAATCTCCAACCTCCCTACCATGTGCAGGGCCACCAACTTCCACGTTTAATTCTAGACCAGGCTGCCCATGGCCCCATCCAATCTGGCCTTGAACACCTCCAGGGATGAGGCATCCACAACCTCTCTGGGCAGCCTGTTCCAGCACCTCACCACTCTCTCTGTAAAGAGCTTCCCCCTGACATCCAACCTAAATCTTCCCTCCTTCAACTTAAAACAATTTCCCCTTGTCATGCTGTTATCTACCATTTCAAAGAGTTGATTCCCCTCCTGTTTGTAGGCTTCCTTTAGGTACTGAAAGGCTGCAATGAGATCACCTCGCAGCCTTCTTTTCTCCAGGCTGAACAAACCCAGCTCCCTCAGCCCTTCTTTGTAGGGGAGGTGCTCTAGTCCCCTGATCACCTTCATGGCTCTTCCCTGTCCCTGCTGGCCACCTCTCTTCTGATGGATCCCATTTGGTCTTCAAATTGTTTTAAAATGTCTTTACACAAGATTAGAAGGATGAAACGGTATGCATTCATAAATAGCTGAAAATTCTGATGAATGTTATGACTGAACGACATTGGTATATTTCTAGAAATGATGTGTTATAAATGTCACTATATAAATAACACTTATTTGTTTTTACGTGCACCTATCTCTCTTCAATTTCTTCGTACAGAATTGGAAGTTCTCTTCAAGCTTAATTAAAGTCTAAATTCTAGGCCTTCTCACCACTGAGATTGCCCAGCTTTACAAAGGGCAGGTACTTTTCTCTTAATTGTATTGGTATTTAAGGGCTCTCAGAGTGATCTCCAAAGTAAGGTGTTGGAGCTGCTAAACTGTGAGTTTGCTTTCCAGAGGTACGAAAGTAAAAATGTTAAAAGGAAACCCATCAGAATTGTAGAGTGCTGAAAGAAGTTGTTATGGATTTTATTTATTTAATGTAATAGGCAGGCTGTGACATGTATTTTGTTTTCATTTGGTAAAGAAAAATAACACAGGCATGAAAACAGTTGTCTTTCTGCTCATGTTCATTCTGAGCTGGTTCTCTCATTATCTCCTTCATTGTTGTGCTTCTTAACTTCCTCCAGTTTTTCACATTCTTTTGCATGTAAACCTGGTTTAAGGTCTTTCTTATAGCTGCTGTCTCTGGGCTGCACAGGTTCTGCAATTCTCTGTTTCTTATTTCCCATTCCTGCGTATGCCCTCACCTGGTGTTGCCTGGTGAGACTTTCTTGGGCGTGTCAGAAATTATACAGGCCCTATGGGTATGAGCACCCTATGCAAGAGAGTCTGTGCACAGCGTGGTGCTGCTCTCCCTGCCACAGAGCCATACTCTGGCTGTGTAGACAACACATCAACTCCCAGGCAGGTTGCCTTTTAACTTTGAAACTGAGAGAAATTCTCTTTGTGCTCTGTACCTTCGAGTACTTCCTATATTTACCATCAGCCTCATTCTTGATGCCAAACATAAAATGAATAAATAAAACAGCCTCTGATTTTTTTCTGTCTGGACTTATCTGGATGGTAGTAATGCTGTAAGGGAGGAAAAGCGTGCCATCCAGCTGCCTGAAATATGAATTAGCTTTTTACAATGAACCATGTTGTAACAGTTCCTAAAAAGTCACGATGTTATGTGGCAATGTTCCTGATACAGCAAATCATTGCTTATCTTTTCTTTCTTATATTGTTAGATTCTATTCCCAGGGACTGAAATTGCTGTTTTAAGCTTTTATTTGGAAATTAATGCTTCGGAGTTGCTCAATATTTATATCACTACTGTAGGTATCTTCAAAGTAGCTTTCTTCTGATCCTTTATGATTTCCCCATGAGAAACAGAACAATATAAAATATTTTAAAAGATATCATGAAAATAGCAAACTTATTTTAGGTCCACAGACTTCTGACATAAATATTAGACAAAATAAATGTGATAACATTCCAGAAAATGCAGCAGAAACAGATGAAAAATTTCTTAAGTGGTGTTTAAAAAAATATTGAAAATGATAATTCTGATCACTGAAATATTGAAAATATCTTTCTAATTATCCATTTGTGGATTTGTACTGTTGTCATGTAATTGCAAAGAAGGCGTAATGAAGGAAGCTGTAAATATCCTGAGAATTACTAAGGTTTCTGTGGGGTGTATATGAAATAGTGTGTACCTGTTTGCTTGACTTCTGTACTCCTGTTGGCAGTAATGGCTTTTAATAGTGTAAGAACTGAACATACCCTTTGGGGCTGGACAAACCAAGGCTGCTTTTACGTGGCTTATGTGTATGTGTTTTATATCATCTGAGACAATCTGCCATAACAAAGGACAAAACATGATGTTCTATTTTTTTATAAATAAAGCTTTTGTTGAGATAGAAATTGCCAATTGCAGAAATACAGACATTCATGATTTATAAACAATAAACACTCCTTCTGGCAGCCTGCCATGCAGGTCCTTTTCTAAACTGTGAATGAGAAATGATGTGGAAGTTACAAACAGTACAGCTAACAGACCCGATAGGGTTTGAAGCAATATTGGTGGCAACTCAAATGCATGTTAGATGCTGTTAGGTTTGAGTAGTTCAGAGATATAATACAAGTACCTGGAGGTGTCTTTATCAATGAAATGTAAAATGAAATATAGTCTTACAGCTGTGTGGTAAAAGCAGTACATCATCTGAGACTTTGTCTTTCCAGTCTTTGATGTGAGGATGTAGATAAACAATTAGTTACCTGCACATCTGGATTTCAGATGATTGAAACTTCAATAAGCTTTATGCTTAACTGCAATTTTGCATAATTTTTTTGCATAAATTTTAAGTGAAAAACTGTGGGAAGTTTTGCCATGTCTGGCAAACAGTTGGACCACTCGCTTCTCTGAATCAGGCATCCAGCTCTAACAAGTCAATTTGTTCTTTTTCTGGCCTCTTCTGACTCAGCTTACTTGCTTGGATTCACCGGTGATGTTTCCTTCCTCTTGTGGTTACCCTGCCAGTGAAAAGAAGATATCCAACTTGAAATGGGTAACAGCTGCCCAATATTGTGTTCACATATTGCTCAGGCTTCTTGAGTGAGTGGGAAGAGGTGCTAACCGTTCAGGCTTTTCCATTTGATTTCATATATGTAAAATTTATTCAAATTTGATTTGGAGGAAAAAGCCATTTTTCAAAAGTGTTTGTGCTTTTATCTGGATGCCACACTGCTCTCATAGCATTTCTGAATGTGAGTACTTGCATGACTGTACTGGTAGGAGATCCAGTGCTCTCTAATTGCTTTGAGATATTTGGGTTTGATTATGCTCTAGCATTTTCTTGTCTACTCTGACAGTTTTCCTGTGTAAATACCTATTGTTTTATAGCAGTATTTTTGTTTGACTTGGTTTACTGACACTGCACAAAATAAATATATATGAACTTGAAGAAGTGAGCCGCTTACTAAAGTTCAAATATTTATTTAGAATAAGTCTTAATTTTTGAGAGGAAGTTAAGAAGCTGAAGACTTCTAATTTATTCTATTATTATTATTTTTTTAGATAATTTGTGTTTTACCTTCTCTATTTATAACTTATATACTGAAATTGCAATTCTCCGTTGATTAAAAATGAAAAAGTCCTTTTTTTTTTTTTTTTTTCATTCTAGTGTTTCAGATATGGTTTGTTACACTGGCTAAAGGCCTGAACAGAAGCTCACTGAAGTCAACGGAAGTCTTTCAGCTGACTCTTACCAAACATTGGATCAAATACTAAAATGCACCTCTTTCTACTGAAGTACAGCAAATCCTTTACAGTGTTATCAATAAGGGAATGCTGTAAGAGAAGAACAAATTCATATGAATACATACATTTTTTGCTCATGAATGTTCCCTAAGGGTAGGGGACAGTATAATAGTGTAGCAAGCATTGCAATAAATCAATTTTTAAATTTAATTGCATATTATTTTGTTTTTATGACATGTTGGTCCATTAATAGGTAAATATTCATAAAACAGATTAAAAATTGCAAATCTGCCAAATCAAATCTTTAAATATGATCATCCCTCTGCTGAATATAAGGATATGAAGTTCCTAATTTGGCTGGAATAAAGAACAAAAGTATTTTTGCTTTCATTAATTGAATACACATTCCCAAAAGTGAATGATGAGCTGTGATGTGTGTAAATAAAGTCTATCTCAGTACTTCAAAAATTAGAATGTTTATTTAAAATTGGCAACACTAGCATAAATCTCAGTCATTCTAGCTATGATAATGTCAATTTACATATGTAGTCATTCAGTAAAGAAACTGCAGAACCTTACTTAGCTAGCAAGTTTCACTATTTAATCATTCATTAATTAGCAAACTGGGTTAATTAGTAGTCTGACATTAATGATTTTTTTTCATTCACTGACTTCATTGAATTGCTAATTCATTGTGTATTAACCTCTTGTAACCAAATTTGGCTACTTCGAAGGTAACTTACATAGGTTCCTTTCTTTACTGAGTTATTACTTAAGTCCATTGGTAATGATTCTCTAGTTGTGTCTATTTCATTTTTTTCTACATTACAATCATGATGTACTCTCTTGTTAATAATTGAATAAACTCTTATCTATCTTTTTTTTTTTTTTTTTTTTAACTAGGTATCTCTTATTTAACAACCTCGTGATTAGTATATCTGTTCCAAACCTCAGTTTATATGTGTATGACCCAGTCTTATAGTCATGCTAGGTAAATTAACCCTGTTCTTGACAACTATGTTGAATGTAACAGGCCAATGCCTCTTTACTTTGAGGGTGACAGAGCACTGAAACAGGCTGCCCAGGGAGGTTGTGGAGTCTCATTCTCTGGAAACATTCAAAATGCACCTTGACACCTTCCTGTGAAACCTCTGTAGGGAACCTAATTTAGGTGGTGGACTAGATGATGTTCAGAGGTCACTTTCAACCGTTATGGTTGTGGGTTTTTTGTTTCATTTCCCCATACAACTGAAAAATGAGATGTTCCTATAATATCTATAGCCATTTTGATATCAAAAGGAACTATTGTAGAAAGGGAGGGGAGGAAAAAAAGTATCTCATCTAGGCTGCAACTTTCTTGTTTCCTTTGGGAAGTAGGTGATGCCATTGTGTCAGAATATACGTTGGAATGTAGAATATGTTGGAAAGGTTTCATTCTTTGGATGTATGTATGTGTAACAGTATAATAAGCTTTTAGACTTGTAAATGGTTGGATTTGCAAATTAGTAATTTCATTCCAGTGTTTGGTTTACATTAATGCCTAAATGATGTCAGCCAGGTTTGAGTCTCTTTTGTATTAGCTAATGTAACAAGGAATATCCTGTTTCATTCAATAGTATTACTCCCTCCCCACACACAGAAGGAAACACTGGGTATATAATATTATTTTCAAAAGGAGAAAGCCAATTTGTTGAAAAGAACTTGTTGGATTAGAAGGCGTGTTACATAGAAGCTCAGTGAACTAATGTGAATAAAGTTATGATCAAAATCCTTTCTGTATAGGTTGCTAGTTGAGAATGAGTTCTTGACTATAATTCACATAGCAAAGGGGTGATAGCAAGTCAGAAATTTCTTGCCCTTCTTATTTTCCGTCTGAGAGTTCAGAGTAGCTATCTGGGTAACTGAGAAAGGGAACCTTTAGTGATTCTTGACATGGAAATCATTTGAAACTGCTTCAGGAGAGGGTTGGGATGATGTTTCTTTACTTCAATTTGATTTAATAAAGTACTTCTTATTTGCTTTACTTTTGATTACTTCAACCTTTTCCAGAATCATAGAATCACAAGGTTGGGAACGACCTATAAGATCATCTAGTTCAACCGTCTTCTCATTACCACTGCTACCACAAGCTACTAAACCATATCTCACAGCTCCTCATCCAGATGCCTCATGAACACTGCCAGGGATGGCAACTCTACCAATCATGCTCAACTAAGTATGAAGCATTGGAAATTTCTTCAACATCCTGTATCAGCCTCTGTCACCTCATCTCATTATTGCTATCCCTAGTTCTTAAGTATTCAGGAGATAAGTCCCCACATGTTTCTATGTTCAGTATGACTTCAGCTTGATGTCAGACATTTCTGTCAACAGTGAAGAAAAACTGTTACAGAAGTTCTAAACCATGCATACAGCTAAGAGCAAATCTAATGTCTGTACAATAAATTTCCTGGGCTTCAAGATGCTTTTTATCAAAGACAAAGTAAATCACAAAATAAAATGATAACAAAGTAACAAGATTGAGACTTGAGGGAGATGAGTTCCATTTGTGGCCAACGGCATCAGAATTCAGACTGAAAATAATTTGTTAAAATTAGAACCGGTTTAGTAGGTTTAGAATGAATATTTTATTGCATTCGTTATCCTGTCATCAGTAAATTGTAAGTAGCTAGTTCTTTTAATCTCTTAACACGCTTTTCTTTTTTGAAAGCAGAATTTTGATTTTTTTTCTAGTGAGCTGAGGTTTTTCTTAAACTCGTTTCCTATGTTTGTGAGACATTTTTTGATATTGTCAAGTTATCTGACACTATGGTAGAAGCTTAGCTCTTAGACAAGAGAACTGCGTTGGATCTGCACATCATGAAAGAAAATACTATGAAATTTTGTTCGAAGGGAGCAGGAGCTATTCAGTGTTTAGATAAGCACTTCTTGTTACTAGCTTAGTCTGGCTGACAATCCAGGATGAACCTTTATGCACTACTTCTTTAGAACTCATAGTTATTTGCCACTCTTTCAGTATCTTTCATCAAGTACTAAATCTCCTTACTCCATCTCAAAAGTCCATGCTTTTTACTAAACTGTGGCATTTTCAACTAATCAAATCTCATCACAGCTATGATGCCGTAGACTGAGTACCGTTCCATGTTATTCTCTTGTTACAGGTTCTTTTCTCTTTTACGATGAAAATTATGTGGGAATTTCCCCTGTACATAATGGAAAAAAAGCCTGAGTATGTCAGTGTTGCTTTCCACATTCACAGATAAAATGGTGGCTCAGTATAGTCATGGAAGAGAATGATTACTACGTAGTACAGCATAGACTTATTGAAGTTTGTATGATTCATAAACTTCTGTGATGGTTTTTGTGAAGTTTTCCTTAGAATACTACTGCACTTGGTTATAGAATGAATATATGACCATCTGCAGTTAAAATATCTACTAGTAAATTCAGTTCATTTTAGTGTTATCTCCTAGGATTTATATATAGCTTAGGAACCAACAATTTGTTTATCTCTCTATTTATTGCTTCATTTAATAGTTGACAAAAGAAATATCATGTTATCGGTCAAATCTTTTCAAATAATTTCTGGGCTGACAATATCATGAGATTTTAGTACTAAGCATTGTTCTTCCTGTCAATACAGAACTTCCATTATTGATACCCTTACTGATTGCAGAATGCTTTTCATGAGCATGAAGATATTTGCATTGAGGCTTTTGAGTGCTTGTCTTCACATCTGAAGAGTGTAACTGACAATGGTATGTTCCTGTTTAAAAAAAAAAAAGAAAAAGGGGAGGGGGGGAGGAGTAAATATATATATATAAAGAAAAAAAAAAAACTAATTCTGGACTTTATTTAGTTTCTTATATTCCTATAATTTCAAGGAAAGTAAGGGAAATATTTCTTATTTTGTTCTACTCTCTGATACCCTAGGATTTACAGAGGAAGGCTTTAATATTTATATAATGTTTTTAATATACATTTCTGTCAATTATACACTCTGAAACATGTTCAGAATCATACAATTAAACTGAATATTAAAAAGTATAAATTATTATATCAGTAATGAAATAAGGAGCACTATGCTTTGAGTGGTGTAACCAATTATGTATTTCCTCATTAATTAGTTGCATCTGTAGTAAAGAACTTTATGAAACTGAACACATATGGCTGTCTTACACAAGTCTGAAAATATACAACTTCTAAAATATACCAATTCAGTAAGGGTAAGAGAAGTAGGCATGAAATAAATTCAGAAACCTTTCATATTTCAAGTAGAGGGTAGAGGGGTAAATGTAAAGTCCTGGAACCAGAAGATAGACATGAAAATCTGAAATAAAAGCCAATGTAAATAATTATTCTTATTGAAGTGTGTTGCAAATGAAAACATAGAATTTTTTTTTTTTTTTACTAAGTGGAATTATCTTGATCACAAGGCCATTATTTACTTTTCTTTTTGGGAGTGTAATTAGAAAACTAATTAGACAAATACTGTTAATAATTTACTTAATAATTTTCAAAAGGCTCAGAAACAAACACAGTTCTCAGTACATGTCTGTGAACTGTGTTTGTTTTAAAAAAAAAAACAACAAAAAACAACTAACACTGTATTTTATTATGAAACACAGGGAGGGGGGGAAAGGGGAGGTAATGTGATCCTCTTTGGCTTGCAACTCTGATAACCAGTCTTGAGATAAAGAATGTTGTTGGTTAATTCAATAGTAAATAGGTATCTGATTTCTTTGGCCTAGGAGTTCAAGGTAGTTGGATAGGATGTGCACATCATACAGCCTTTGTTCAGAATGCAAGACTGTGAAAGTTCTAAGCAATGCTGAAATGATTAGCCAGCTGAAATTACAAAAATTCCTCAAATGTTTCCTCCAAAATGTTTGGGGTGTCTGGGGGAGTAGGGTGGTGGTGAAACTTGTCCATTAACTTCTGTTTTTATTCTTTTTAATTTAAAACTCTGATCTACTGATTTGGAGAAGTGGTAATTTTCTAGAGGCAAGTCTAAAACGTATAATGCTGAAAATTTCATTAAAGAATTTTTAAAACTTTCCAAGGTCTTCCTGTATGTTCTACTGTCTCTTATTTTTAGGGGGAAAATTGTGTATAATTTCAAACAGATTGTTTGTCTGTATAGGATCTTGTGTAGATTTGATTAACACCACACTGTCAAGTCTTTAGGGTCGGGGCAGATTGTATTAGAAGCATGACAAGTAGTTAATGAATTTGCATTGACTAATCCATACAAAGCTAAAGATTTTTCTGTCAGGATTAATGTCCAAAAAAGAGTAGGACACACTATTTGATACATTATCTTGCACTGAATCACATTGTTATTGGACATAAGATTAAAGAACTATGTTATTTTGTTTCCTTCTGTAGATATACAACTGTTATTTGCTATGATGCTTATGTATAGTCATTAAATTAAGAATTCATTTAATCATCAATGATGTTCTCTTGTAACTTCTCAATATAAGGTACGTATACTTGCAGTAATGGGATAAATACAGAATCTGGCACACGTCCATGTCCTAATAGCTATTGCTGTGTAGCCATTCAGAATCTTAGAAATTTTGATATATGCCTTCAATTTGAACAGAGCTGTCAGAAGACTTGGTAATGAAACATTTTGTGCTTTCAGATGTTGCCTAGATATGTCATGACCAAGAAGAGCTGCTGTTTCTTAAGAATCTAGTGGTCTAAATGAAATAAATATCATGCAGTCCTGTGTTATTTCAGGAGTCAGAATTTGGTGGAAAATATTGTTCCGATTCTTTTTAGAGGGAAATAAGATATTGCTAGTATTTTCTCAAAATGGTGAGAGGAGATAATGTAGGCCCTTGGTACTGAAGAAGAGAAAGAGATTGAGAAAGATATATTATCAGATTCAGAACAAAATTTTGTAGTCTATGCAAAATAAATCAGTGGAAAAAAATTTACTATTGTTGTCATAAGGGCTGTCAATTAAAATCCTAATAAAAAAATTACAGTCCACAACAGCATGAGAATGTAGAGTTAGGGCAAGACATTCTTCCTGAAAGTATTATTATTATTTTTTTTAATTAAAAAAAAGGTGATTGCTTTGTTTAGGACTAAGTCATATAACTGAGTGGAAAAACTCAGACATTAAACACGTCTAATGCTGCCCATTTAAATAAGGCAGTTTGTGCTAGTTACATAGAATCATGGAATCACAAAGGTTGGAAAAGACCTTAAAGTTCATCAAGACCAACCATGACCTAACCATACTACCCTAATAACCCTCTGCTAACTCATGTCCCAACTGCTCATGTCTCGTGAGCAATTCTAAGAGGATACTGAAAAAAAAAATGTATTTTGAACACTTATTTGATATCTTCAGTAAATCTTGTTGTCTATTATATACAGAGTGTCTATGTTTAAAGAAAACAAAACAAAACCCCCAAAACAGAAAAACAACCGTACAAGATTTCCAAACAACAGATTACTGATTACTGTGTTCCAGATAACATTCAAACTAAATATCATGGCAAGATATTAATAGGAGACAAAATAGCAAAATACTTTCATTTGCAGAATTTTTTTTTTAATTGTTTAGGGATTGTTGTTTATTTGGTTTTGGGTTTGTTTTCTTTTTGTTGTTTGTTAAGCTAACAATCAATAATTCTAAAAAAATACATAATCTGGAACAATATGATCTAGGTATTTTAAGAAGAATCAAGACTTTGGTATTGTGATACATAAATGATGAAAATGGCATTTCTGTTCCCAGTGATGCTGAAGAAAAAAGAATAGAGTATTAGGATGTAATAGGGAAAGATTAAAAAGCAAAAGGGGCTGTTCTACAAATCCATGGTATGTCTGTATCTTTAGCATTTTTACATTTTGGTGTGCTGTGCTGAATATTCTAACTTTAAAAAAAAAAAGAAAGAAAAGGAAAAAACTTCAGAAAATTGAAGTCCGTTTGAATGTTCTAAGGAACAGAAATGAAAACTACACTGGGTAAGACTTTTCAGTTGAAAAGGTATTGGAGGAGGAAATAAATCAATCCATTCAGATGAGAAACTCTCACCAAATCAAACGCTATCAAGTCCATTACCAGAAGCTGTGTGAATGTAGTGAAAAGTTTGTGTTTTTTATGTATTTGAATTATTTTTTGAGAACTGGTGGTAGATGGAACTTATTTGATTATGAGTCCGGTAATCTCTTCCTCTGACATACAAATGATGTTCACATTCTGAACAAAAGTATCTATAATTGAGTTCGTTTGTTTTATTTTGCCATTTCAGAAGACAGCTATGTCTTCTCTTTCCCCTATATCAGTTGGTCTTTGGGAAATGTTTTGTTGTCTGGGGCCCAAATATAGTTCACATGTGAATTCGTTATGGGGGAAATGTTTGGCAACATCTAAAAAAGCTTGAGTATGCTCAGTGCTGCTGAAATACTATCCAGAAGAATAACATGGTAATATAAAGGCTAAAAATTAGTTCATGAATAATACTGGCCTATAAGATAAGAGCAATGGAAGGTTGTAAATTAATACCTAGCGCACATCCTTCAAAAGTGGGAAAATACTGAATGTGATTTACCTTGCTAGTAAAGCTGTTGGCTGTGTAGATTACATTCATCATTATCACTTATAACATCCATCTCAAGATTAATGTCACAGGCTGATATCAACCATTTTGGTTCCTGAGGTGAATATGATCATACAGTTCTTGTAAATAGTACTTATTCTTGTCTCCAGCCTTCTCATTTTTGATCAACTCTCTACTGTAAATGCTTGCCACCTACTTGTGTACCACATGGTACATCACAATGCATTTATATATTGTATTTAAGTACTTCCTCAGGTGCAATAGCTCTTTTATCTGTGAACAGATCTCTGTAACTTAGATCAATCAAATGGCAAATAACTCTTCTGGGCAAACTTCAGCACTCCAGAGTCTAAGAACCTGCTCAGGTTCTTATCCCTTCTTGGTCCTCAGTTTCCCATTTGTGACCATTCAACTCATCCATGCCAAATAATCTCTTTTAATATGATCTAAATTTTAATTATTTTTATTGTGTTTTCCCCAATTGCTTATATGTTTAGTGAAAGCACTCCTGAGTAAAGATTCTTAGTGAAATCATAATTATTCCCTGTGGCTGTTTTCCCTGTAGCTTTTTAGGCTTGGTAGTTTTGAGAGTCAATTAAAATAACTGTTTGCAAAACTGTTTGCAACTCTGATATATGAGCTGTTACAGTGTATTGGTTTCAAACTTTCTAAAAATAATCTTAGAGAACATGCATTTGTGGTGGAGTACAAGGAGAATTAATTTTAACTTAGTCATTCTGAAGAGATCATTTGGTATCATGGGACATTCAAAAAACTGGGTAATTTTTCCTTTGCCAGGATACCCTTTTCAAGATGCTGTTGCTGTTTCTTTGAAGAAAATAGAAGTGATATCAGAAATATACAGATAATGTTGCTGTTTGCATTCTCTTAAGCTGTATATAAAATTGAGGCAAATGAGGTAGTGCCTCCTTAAGCTCCTTGGAGCTGTAAGAGGAAGGAACACTCAAAAGTGTAATGGAGGCAACAGTTTTAAGTGCTTCAATAAGGAAATGAATCAGTGCTTTGCCATTAGATTTAGAAAAAGTCTGTTTAATTTATGGATTAAACAATTTATTTTTGACATAAATCTGTGTAGTAGTTAAATATCTTTTGAACGTATTTGATTTCCAGCTAAAGAAAAGGATTTCTCTGTGGCTGAAGAACAATTATGTAAATCAGAGATCATAACCAC